CCCACACACACACATTCACTTATAACGAAGACACCCCAAAGCTGGCGCTATTGAAGGGACAAAACCACTGCAATCTTTGCTATCACAAAAAAGTGCTGAAATATTTCATGGTTACGTCCCTTGGTCTGGTATCATGGCAGGTAAAAAGAAAAACTAGCTCGGGCCCGATTACACCAGACACTCCTATTTTAGAAACAGGTGCTAAAATCCTGATGAAACTGGGAGTTTTGACAGTCATCTAATTTGGATATCTTGTGCTGAAGACATTTTCACCACTTGGGAGTCAACTGTGCGGCTGAACTTTATCGGTACCGGTACCCCGAAGTGACTGCTGACTCGTGGGAGAAAGAAAATAGAATAAGAATATAAATAATAGTAATGATGATGATGATGATGATGATGATGATGATGATGATGATGATGATGATGATGATGATACTGATGATAACATTTATAATAAAGATCACTTCTATAGTGCCCACTATCTGGGGTTCCAGGTGCTTCACAATAAAAAATATAAATAGAACTTTAAAAACTCGACAGCTGACACAATGGCACGTTTAATACATACTGGCCAAATCAACGTAAATCACCTCTTTCAAATATATTTAGCTGTTTATTTTACACCTTAGCTTTTTTGTCTTATTTTATAGTCATTTTGTTTTGTGTTGGAGTTCCATATTATAATAATTTTTAATATGCTATTAGGTCTAAATCTTGTCATATCTTGTCCTCTCATGGCATGGTATGGCGGGGTGTTTTAAGGCGCCATAGACGCAGCAATAGACAGGTTTCTCTCGTTCTGACGATTTTTATGCAATCTCGTCTCACCATATTTTTGCTGTCTTTAACTAAATTCTTACTAAATATTTTTACCTATTTCAACCATTCCGACTTTTTTTAATATAACCATGCAGTGCTGTGAACTAACGTGAAAGCAACCAGCTTGAGTCAAGAGCGCTCATTTAACCGTATGCAGTTGGGAGCGCCGTAAAACTCTAACAAACTGACACTGAAACATACCGTCTCACCCACGCATCACGGCTTAACTGTAAATCATTAAAATATTGTTATCTTAACTTGGCTCTTTACAATGACCAGCGTCTGTGGCGTTGTGGTTAGACACTTCGCCTTTGCATGCATGAGAGACCAGTTCGATTCCCGGGTGGGGAGAATTGTTATCGAGTACCGCAGTCTTTCTTCTGTAAAGGTGTGTCCCTAGCCTGAGCCTACACACTTACTTATCTCTGTGGGCCCAGATGTATCTCTTTCAACCCTGCTCGGACCTCACCTGACAGGCAGAGCAAAAAGCCTGCCTCTTAAATTATCTAAATTGTGTCAATACTCGACTTATCCCTTCCCTTTGATTCGTTACGTGTCGAGATGTGTTGCAGTTTTCAGCGAAAAACCAGGTGGGTGCCTTCTGTCGTTGATGTAATTCTCTTGCAGGGCCACTTTATTTAAAACCATCTGCCAAGTTTTGCGTGGCCCGCCCCTCCCCTTGTATCCTCCCTAATTGTGTCGATTGGGGCGATAAAAACACCTGCATTAAAAAATAAATCCTCTTTACAGTGACGTCACAGACAAGCACCGTGAGCAGCTCTCTGGTATGCTGGACCAATGTCAAGGTCGACTGCAGGAGGTCACAGACCGACTGGACACTCTGGATCGCCACGAGAAAGCGGTCAAGGCCGCGAAGGAGAGAATCCGAGACATGGCCATTGCTTACATAGCTCAGGTGAGAGAGTTGAGACCAAGGAGATCTGTTAAAGTGTGTGTGTATATAATATATATTATATATATATATATTTGTG